AATGATTCACACACTCTTTGAGTCAAAGACTTACCCGTAACTTGTGATGCAATATTGAATAATACCAACAACAATAGCTTAAAATTTAAATAATTTTGTTTATTTAACATTTTATTTGCTGGTGTTTTGTTTTCTCCACTTAACTATTATGTATGTATTTTTTAAGCTTAACTATATATTTTTTATGTACAATTTTCTTTTAATTAAAAACAATTTTCTTGGTTTTTTTATGTTAAAATTAAATTTTACTTTCACATTTTTTAAATGTTTTAGTTTTTCGTTGTTGTTTTTGTTATACAGTTTTTTCTTTAACGTCAGCAACGGTTTACTGTTTTGGTCGTCACAAAACAAAATCACAGTTTGATGTCTTAAACTCAACTGAAAACCTGGTTTAGAAAAAGAGCTATAACGATATACAACTAACTCATACTTTATTTTGTATTTACTTATCTCAGTGGTTTGTTAGTCAGTCAATCGTTCTCTTGAAGGTCTACCAGCTAGTTGCTGTTGTTGTTTCTTTTTTACCATTGTTTATACGAATGTTGAAAACGGAAATTGCAAGTGGTGTATTTTGAATTTTGTTTGTGTTTATTGTTGACTCGTTGCGCATGCGTAGTTTTCTCACATTGTTTTACCAATAACTTTTATTGGGCTGTTTTGTTTTGCTCGCTGTGTACGTTAAAACCTGTTTTATGTTTATTTGGTTTTGTTAATTAAAACAGCTGATGGCCAAAATCGCTCTTTATTAACTTATAGTTAAGGCCAACATTATTACAGGGTGATTCACGATTAAAATATCAATATTACTTATTAGCAAGGAGTCCAAAATATGCAAATACATCTTTTTTATGATGTGTCGTATGGACTCATGGACAAGATAATTGTATCGATATGGTAGCGCATATTTTTGCATATTTTACCCATAAGAGCACAATTTGATTTAAATAGGATATTTCGTGTGTTTGGAGCATATTTTACATTATTAGCGCATATTTTCATATTTTTTATACACTTTGTTTTCTTAGGAACCAAATCTGATAGAATACTTAATATTAATTGGTTATCTGAACGTGAAATGAAAGCTTACCACCCGTTCTGAAATTTAAATTCGGTTAAATTTTTTAAATCTTATTTGACCCACAGACGCACGTACATAGGGCATATCGTTCGTTTAAAATCGACAGACGATCACAAGCTTAATCTGAGGAACTAGAAAAATAATGTTATTTTCACGACTTTTCAAAAAATAGCCTTCCTAAATTTAATCTATTCCGCAGTTTATGTAAAACTTGAAAAATAGATTCAGATAAATAATTAAAAAATATATATATTTTTGAAATTATTTTATTATGACAAATATTTAAAAATATCATCCAAAATGTATGCATAAGACCATAGAGACTAGAATATAGACTAGACTATCTAGACTATAGACTAGACTAAAGACCAGACTAGACTATAGACCTGACTAGACTATAGACCTGACTAGACTATAGACCTGACTAGACTATAAACTAGACTATAGACTAGACTATATACTAGACTATAGAATAGACTAGACTATAGACTAGACTATAGACTAGACTATAGACTAGACTATAGACTAGACTATAGACTAGACTATAGACTAGACTATAGACTAGACTATAGACTAGACTATAGACTAGACTATAGACTAGACTATAGACTAGACTATAGACTAGACTAACTAGACTATAGACTAGACTATAGACTAGACTATAGACTAGACTATAGACTAGACTATAGACTAGACTATAGACTAGACTATAGACTAGACTATAGACTAGACTATAGACTAGACTATAGACTAGACTAGACTATAGACTAGACTATAGACTAGACTATAGACTAGACTATAGACTAGACTATAGACTAGACTATAGACTAGACTATAGACTAGACTATAGACTAGACTATAGACTAGACTATAGACTAGACTATAGACTAGACTATAGACTAGACTATAGACTAGACTATAGACTAGACTATAGACTAGACTATAGACTAGACTATAGACTAGACTATAGACTAGACTATAGACTAGACTATAGACTAGACTATAGACTAGACTATAGACTAGACTATAGACTAGACTATAGACTAGACTATAGACTAGACTATAGACTAGACTACTAGACTAGACTATAGACTAGACTATAGACTAGACTATAGACTAGACTATAGACTAGACTATAGACTAGACTATAGACTAGACTATAGACTAGACTATAGACTAGACTATAGACTAGACTATAGACTAGACTATAGACTAGACTATAGACTAGACTATAGACTAGACTATAGACTAGACTATAGACTAGACTATAGACTAGACTATAGACTAGACTATAGACTAGACTATAGACTAGACTATAGACTAGACTATAGACTAGACTATAGACTAGACTATAGACTAGACTATAGACTAGACTAGACTATAGACTAGACTATAGACTAGACTATAGACTAGACTATAGACTAGACTATAGACTAGACTATAGACTAGACTATAGACTAGACTATAGACTAGACTATAGACTAGACTATAGACTAGACTATAGACTAGACTATAGACTAGACTACTAGACTATAGACTAGACTATAGACTAGACTATAGACTAGTCTAGTCTATAGTCTAGTCTATAGTCTAGACTATAGACGACTATAGACTACACTATAGACTAGACTATAGACTAGACTATAGACTAGACTATAGACTAGACTATAGACTAGACTATAGACTACACTATAGACTAGACTATAGACTAGACTATAGACTAGACTATAGACTAGACTATAGACTAGACTATAGACTAGACTATAGACTAGACTATAAAGTAGACTATAGACTAGACTATAGACTAGACTATAGACTAGACTATAGACTAGACTATAGACTAGACTATAGACTAGACTATAGACTAGACTATAGACTAGACTATAGACTAGACTATAGACTAGACTAGACTATAGACTAGACTATAGACTAGACTATAGACTAGACTATAGACTAGACTATAGACTAGACTATAGACTAGACTATAGACTAGACTATAGACTAGACTATAGACTAGACTATAGACTAGACTATAGACTAGACTATAGACTAGACTATAGACTAGACTATAGACTAGACTATAGACTAGACTATAGACTAGACTATAGACTAGACTATAGACTAGACTATAGACTAGACTATAGACTAGACTATAGACTAGACTATAGACTAGACTATAGACTAGACTATAGACTAGACTATAGACTATAGACTAGACTATAAGACTAGACTATAGACTAGACTATAGACTAGACTATAGACTAGACTATAGACTAGACTATAGACTAGACTATAGACTAGACTATAGACTAGACTAGACTAGACTATAGACTAGGACTATAGACTGACTATAGACTAGACTATAGGACTAGACAGACTATAGACTAGACTATAGACTAGACTAAAGACTAGACTATAGACTAGACTATAGACTAGACTATAGACTAGACTATAGACTAAGACTATAGACTAGACTATAGACTAGACTATAGACTAGACTATAGACTAGACTATAGACTAGACTATAGACTAGACTATAGACTAGACTTATAGCCAGACTATAGACTAATAGACTAGACTATAGACTAGACTATAGACTAGACTATAGACTAGACTATAGACTAGACTATAGACTAGACTATAGACTAGACTATAGACTAGACTATAGACTAGATATAGACTAGACTATAGACTAGACTATAGACTAATAGACTAATAGACTAGACTATAGACTAGACTATAGACTAGACTATAGACTAGACTATAGACTAGACTATAGACTAGACTATAGACTAGGACTATAGACTAGACTATAGACTAGACTATAGACTAGACTATAGACTAGACTATGGATAGACTAGACTATAGACTAGACTATAGACTAGACTATAGACTAGACTAGACTAGACTATAGACTAGACTATACTAGACTATAGACTAGACTATAGACTAGACTATAGACTAGACTATAGACTAGACTATAGACTAGACTATAGACTACTATAGACTAGACTATAGACTAGACTATACTAGACTATAGACTAGACTAGACTATAGACTAGACTATAGACTAGACTATAGATAGACTATAGACTAGACTATAGACTAGACTATAGACTAGACTATAGACTAGACTATAGACTAGACTATAGACTAGACTATAGACTAGACTATAGACTAGACTATAGACACTATAGACTAGACTATAGACTAGACTATAGACTAGACTATAGACTAGACTATAGACTAGACTATAGACTAGACTATAGACTAGACTATAGACTAGATAGACTAGACTATAGACTAGACTATAGACTAGACTATAGACTAGACTATAGACTAGACTATAGACTAGACTATAGACTAGACTATAGACTAGACTATAGACTAGACTATAGACTAGACTATAGACTAGACTATAGACTAGACTATAGACTAGGACTATAAGACTAGACTAGACTAGACTATAGACTAGAGGGACTTATGGACTAGACTAGACTAGACTATAGACTATATACAGACTAGACAGTTTATAATTTAGAAAAAGCTCGGAAAATATTGTGGGGATACCTGCGGTATTTTTCTTTTTGCATGCTTGGCTCCCAATAGTAGTGTTATAGTAAAAATACATTCAGTAGCTTATAGGAAATGATGGAAATATTTATCCAGTTCACAATAGGCTTTGTAACGTTGTTTGTCATAATTATTGTTATTATAGGTTTCTTTACGAAAAAAAAAAAACAATAACAAATGTACAACATACAAACTGCCATGGCGATTGTGTATTGGGTATTTAAAGAGTATAATTACAAATACACTGAGCAAAAGTTGTATATTTAGAAGGCATAAGCAACTTGTTGTAAGTTATGCAAATTTTTTACATATTTTACAATCTTTTAAAGAAATAAAACAAATTTGTAAATTTTTGTTTGTGCTTGTTTTTTTTACGTAGACGACTGATAGTTTGTGATTTTATTGAAAGCCTTCTTTTCTTTAGAATTTTCTACAATATCAAGTCATCATACTTATTTTTTTTTTTCGTATGTTTTGTTTTGTTTTCAAACAATTATATAAATAGTTAGATAAATAAGTTTAAATATAAGTTTATATATTGTTTCAGATAAGTGTTTTTGTTTTTTTTTTTTCTTCTCGATTTTCCTTAACAATAATAGAACAGAGATTCTTTAAGATTTTTTACTTTTTTGGCAAAAAGCCATAAAAGAATAAATAACAAGATGTTGCTTTATGCTCTTGTGTTCTATTAATTAATTTAAGAAAATTTTAAAAAAATATAAGGTTTTGTTTTGCAAACAAATTAAGTAGAAAAACTTTTTGTTCAAAACTTATACCAGAGTATTTGAGAATTATAATATGAGAATAAATGATATAGAACTTATAGACTAAAAAGCAAAAAAATGTTTAAAGTAAATTTGCTTAAGTGTTTGTTTTTTTAATTTTTATAAAAATTGTGTTTTGTTTAACATGATTATTAAGTATTATTATTATTATTATAATGATTGTTAGTTAATTATTTTTGCTTAAATGTAAAAAAATGTTATGAATTTTTTAAATTATTAAGCAATTAATTACTTAAATATTAGTCACATTTTATTGTTTTATAAATGTTTTAAACGATTAGATAAATACGTTAAATGTTGTTTTGTTTTTAATAAGTTTTTTTCTTAACTAAGGAACAGAGTTTATATAGTATTTAGTTTTTTAAACGATTTTCATATGATATTTTTTGTTTTCGCACAATTTCTTTTGAAAATTGTAGTGTTTTGTCTTAAAAGTTAATAGAAAAAGTAAAGAACATTTTGAATAATTTTTTAAAATAACGAAATTTTTGGTTAAATATTTAACTTGTGATTAAATAAGTGTGTGTGTTAGTAAAATAATTAATTGATTAATTAAATAAATAAATAATTTTTAATTGACATGTTTCAACAATTTTTCTTTTGTGTTTAAGAAGAGTATTTTAAAGTTAGTGTCTGTCTCTCTTTAAAAATATAAATTATTAAATTTATATAATAAAAAAAGCGCATTTGTCTCTCTTAATTTGATTTTTTTGGGTTATCATTTCACATCAATAACAAAACCAGTACTCTTTCCTAGGTTCTCTTTTTGAACTCTAACATTTTGTTCTCTTGTTGAGTAATAATTTTGCTTTAAGGAGAGCTTTGTTTACTATAATGCTAACGTTATATTAATACATAGTTTTTTGGGGAAACATTAATAGATTTTTCTGTTGATATATATATAAATAAATATGTAGTTGTTGTTGTGGTTAGTATATAATTAATAATATAACATAAATTGTGCCTTTAAATCGGTAATTGCTATAAATTCTAGAAACAACTTGTTTAAATAAAATAAATATATGTTTAACGTAGTAGTGTTATTAACGAAATAAACGTTTTAAAAGTTTGTCAAAAAAATGTTAAATAAGTTTTTCTTTAAAATATTTCAATTAACTAGTAACTAAACAAAAAACAACGAACTTTTTTTTTTAAATAAACATTTTTTTCAGGATTAAAAAAGTTTTAACCGCTCAAAGCTTGCCAAAACATGACTCTATTCTATAAGCAATAAAGAAATTGTTTAAAAAAAATATTTAAGAAAACTTTCATAGAGAATTTCTCTCTCTCTGTAGAGGGTCGGTGGGGGTAGAAGTTTGAAAATTCTTCTCCCCCTTGCCCATTCTAGTTTGTAATGAAATTAATTTTTAAAAAATATTTGTTTGTTTTTTTTTAAGGTTTTCAAATTATTAAAACAAATTATTATTTTTTATTAATTTTTTTAATATTTTTTTTGGTGTTTTTTAATATTTTTTTTTTCAATTTTGTTTCTTAAGGAGTTAAAAGTTAAAAGTAAGAAGTGCTTAATAGATGTGAAAAAAAAATGGTGATGGTGGGTGTACAAAAATTTATATTCTATACGTTAATTAACATCTTAGGCGGCTTCTTCACCTTCTTCTTCTTCCTCCTTGCCGGTGAGCATAGCGATCAAAGCAGCGGTATCGATTTGGTTCTTATCATCGATAACCATTTGATCGAAAGCATCATCGACTTCCTTCATGGTGAATTTGTCACCGAAGTTCATGAGCATTTCACGGAATTTGTCACCATCGATGAGACCATCATTGTCGAATGTTTTGAAAGCAGCAATGACAACTTCATCTTCATCGTTAGCACCAGAGCTGGCCATGCGGTTGGCGAACAAGGTCAACAATTGGGTGAAGTTGATGGGACCAGAGGCTTCGCCCAACATAGAGTCCAATTCCTTATCGGCGGCAATTTTGCCTACGGAATCGAAAGCGGCACGCAAATCGTTCTTGCCAATGATACCATCCTTGTCAGCATCCATAAGTTGGAAGGCCTATTTTTGTTTGTACGATTTTGGTTTAAAGTTTTGAATTAGTTACAAATTCGTTAAAGATTCTCAAACAATTTTTATTTAGTTGTTTGAATGTTGGAGTTTTTTGGGGTGTTTTTTTTTTTTTAAATTTTGTTCTTTTTCAATACTTACTTCTTTGAATTCAGCAATTTGTTTTTGGGAGAAAACAGAGAAGACGGAGGAACCAGCGCGCTTAGATTTTCTGGAGCCACGGCTACCACCGGAAGCTCTCTTGGAGCCAGTAGTGGAGGCGGGTGCTGGGGTAGCAGCTGGGGCAGGGGTTGCTGCCTCAGAGACAGTTTCGGATGCGGTTTCCGAAGCGCCACCTTCTTCCTTGGTCTTCTTCTTCTTAACCTTCTTCTTCTCATCGGCCTGTTTGGTGTGAAAAGAAGATTTTTAAGTGGTATTAGTTTAGATGTTTAGTTGTGTAGTTTTAGGGAATTGTTTAAAGGATTTTCAAATTATAGCAAATGGATTTATGCTATATATTCGTTGATTTAAATTTTCCCGAAATTTCTCTAGATTTTCAAATTATTAATCAAATTTGAATAATTTTTCAAAAGGAAGTAATAAAATTTTTCTAACCCGATTTCAGAATAAATTTTCATAATAGAATTTTAAGGTTATATTCTATATATCCAAGATTTCTGGTTGTAAATATAAAGTGCAAAGTTTATTAGAGATAATAAGTTCAAATTATTAAATTTTTGTTTGTTAGATTTCAATTTTTTCATTCATTTAAAGTTCATAACTTTAACTATTTGAAAAACTTCTTTTATTTCAAGTTAACAATTTTCAGTTTCAAATTATTATGAAGTTTTGTCAATTATTGTTTTCAAATTTAGTCAAAGTTCAATTTGAAACTTAAAATCTTTAATAATTTCTTTAAAATTCTTAAGACACTTTATTTAATTTTATTTATTAAAATATTTTTCAATTTCATTTTGAATATTTTTTTTCAATTATTATATTTCATATATTACGCAAGTTTTCTTTACGATTTTATAGCACACTTAAGTTTCACTCAATTCTATTTTGATTCAATAGTGTTGGTATATATTTGTCTCTTTTACACACAAACGATATCAAGTTACAGTTATATATGTATGGAAAGGTTGTAGTTTACAACTTTTTTAGGCTAAATTTTAAAGATCGAAAGTTATATCACTTATTTTTAAACATTTTCTTAAAGTTTTTTTTTTTGTAACTTTATTACAACATTTTTGAAGTTTTAAAGATTTATTATTTTACACAATTTTCTTGAGAGTTTTTTCTTTAATTATTCCAACTTCACTATATATATTTTTGATATTTTTTTTTGTAAAACTTTTATATTTTCTTTGATATTTTTGTTATAGTTTTCCATTGAAAATCCTTTAAATTAATCCTTTGGTTGGCTGGTAGTATATTTGTTTTAATACAAGTCCATTTTTTTTTTTCTTAAAAAGACTTATATTCAGACGAATTCCTTACCATGGTGCTAGGTTGTGTCTTGTTGTCTGAACGGATCGAGCTGTGTGAGCACAGTGATTGTTCTGGCTGATTTTATCTTAACGTCGATGATATTTTAAGAAAAATTTTCGTCAAAAATTTTCCAAATTTCGCACCCATACCAACAAACCATTCTACATTAGCCCCAACGGCAATAGACCCATACTCTTGCAAATATATACATAATTTCGTATATGTATTAAGAAATTAGCCAAGAATATGAATGGCTCACTCAAACATACATACACAGCGTCGTTAACTCAAACCAGCCAGTCGTATGTATTTCGTATAACATCGTATGCATAGTTCTCGAGATGCCTTTTTTAGCCTGTATACAGGGTGTGGTGTGTGTAGCTATAACGATACATAAGGTGGGGTAATATGAAAAGCTCTATACTTTGCCTCGTGACCCCTGCACGCATCGATACCATACACATCGAACAAACAATTCTAATAATAACATTAACATTAATTTTTACTCTTGCGTGAGTATGAGTGCTATCAAAACATTTCTCACTCTCTGTCTGGGTAGCTATAGCGTGGCGTTTCAATGTGTATGTATCTTTGGCTATATACATATATATCTTAAGATATCTTATGAACGAAGGCATTTGTGTATTTTTTGACTACATCACCTACATTTTTATTTCATTTAGTCCAGTTTATAGTTAGCCCTCCCCTCTTCACCACTTCCTTCTCCTAGTTAAAGTTTAATTTCAAAATTTTTTCTCAATTAATTTTGAAATTTTTGTTCTTATTTCTTATGTTTAAAAATCTATTTATATTTTAGTGTATGCGTTTCTTAGTCTTTTGTTAATAATATTTGAATAGATTGTTGTTGTTCCTCACCTTGTGTAATTTCAAAATTTATTTTCAATTTTTTTTTTTTTCAGCCTCTTCTTCTTTTTCCCTAAATTAATGTTTGTGTGGGCCAAAAGTTTCGTTAATTTCATTTCGTTCAATCATTCTTTCGTTAATTTTCTTCGTTTCCCAACGAAGTCTATTATAAATATTTCGTATTGTGCAATATAAAAATTCATTTGTTTTTGTTCTACAACGCCTGAAACTATAGATTTTCATATTTATTTGTTATTTAAACAAAACAATTTTTTTTTGCTCTCATACTTTTTCAACAACAAAAATGTATTTTTATCTTAAAAATTTTAATCTGTATTATAAATTGTATGAAATGAAATTATTGGAGGATAAATGTTTGCCTAAATATGTATTCTTATGAATTATATAACATTGAATTTGTTTTTACTGGGGGGAATCCATAGGAAAATTTTGGAAAAGTTCCCAAAAAAAAAAAAAAAAAAAAAAAGAATTCAATCCCAATTTTAAAATTAATTCCCTGACGTAAATGTTTACGGCAATTTAATAACAGAGTTATTACATATTAATAATTTATTATTTAACCGTATTTATTTTAAACAAGTAAAGAGTTTTATATTCGTCTATGACGAATCTTATATACTCTTTACCATTATTTTATTGTTAATAATCAGACAATTCAGAAAGTCCCCTTTTATAGATTTTCACTCAATCAGGACCTATATATGTATATGATTTTATTCAATCAGTTTGCTGAGTGTTTAATTTTGTGTTTCTTTGGGTTCAATATTATAAAGGAATTAAAAAAGTACCAGCTGAAAAGCAAAAAGTACCAAAATATTCACTCTTATAGCTTTATATTCCACCAGGATCCTTTATTTCTGATTATACATATATAGTATAGTCTAGTCTATAGTCTAGTCTATAGTCTAGTCTATAGTCTAGTCTATAGTCTAGTCTATAGTCTAGTCTATAGTCTAGTCTATAGTCTAGTCTATAGTCTAGTCTATAGTCTATAGTTAGTCTATAGTCTAGTCTATAGTCTAGTCTATAGTCTAGTCTATAGTCTAGTCTATAGTCTAGTCTATAGTCTAGTCTATAGTCTAGTCTATAGTCTAGTCTATAGTCTAGTCTATAGTCTAGTCTATAGTCTAGTCTATAGTCTAGTCTATAGTCTAGAGTCTATAGTTCCTAGTCTATAGTCTAGTCTATAGTCCTAGTCTATAGTCTAGTCTATAGTCTAGTCTATAGTCTAGTCTATAGTCTAGTCTATAGTCTAGTCTATAGTCTAGTCTATAGCTAGTCTATAGTCTAGTCTATAGTACTAGTCTAGTCTATAGTATAGTCTAGTCTATAGTATAGTCTAGTCTATAGTATAGTCTAGTCTATAGTATAGTCTAGTCTATAGTATAGTCTAGTCTATAGTATAGTCTAGTCTATAGTATAGTCTAGTCTATAGTATAGTCTAGTCTATAGTATAGTCTAGTCTATAGCTAGTCTATAGTCTAGTCTATAGTCTAGGTCTATAGTCTAGTCCTATAGTCTAGTCTATAGTATAGTCTATAGTCTAGTCTTAGTATAGTATAGTCTAGTCTATAGTATAGTCTAGTCTATAGTATAGGTCTAGTCTATAGTATAGTCTAGTCTATAGTATAGTCTAGTCTATAGTCTAGTCTAGTCTATAATCTAGTCTAGAGTCTAATCTAGTATATAGTCTAGTCTAGCCCATAGTCGAGTCTATAGTCTAGTCTATAGTCTAGTTTATAATCTAGTCTATAGTCTAGTCTATAGTTTAGTCTATAGTCTTGTCTGTAGTCTTCAGTCTAGCCTATAGTCTAGTTTAGGCTATAGAATAGTCTATAGTCTAGTCAATAGTCAAGTCTACACTCATGTCTATAGTATAGTCTGTAGTCTATTCTAGTGTATAGTATTAGAAAATTAGTTTAGTACTTTAATACCTAAAAGTGTATATATAAGTACTCGGAATATACATACATGTGTATAATATATATATGTATATATATATTTGTAGTATGGACGTATGAGTCATATAAATCTGTAATATGTTAATGTTTTTCCCAAAAAGTTATAAAATGTCTAGAAGTCTGGGTAGAATAATATTGGCAGTTGATATTGCAATGTATGTACTTCTGAAAATTTTATAACCTTAGCCCAGAAACGTTCAGAAACACTAATTATAAATAAATTTAACTTTGAAATCCGGTTTGTAAGGGTTAATTGTTTTTGAATTTTGCAAAATTAAAGGCATTTGTTTCGTAAATTTAACTTATCAACATTAATTTATTGCAAAAATTGTTTTATTTTTTTCTAAAACCTTTCGAGTTTATAAAAAAAAATTTATAAAAAATTAAGAATATTGAATCTCGGCTATAGACTATATATAAACAGACTAGAATTTAGATTAGACTTCAGACCAGACTATAGACTAGACTATAGATTATACTGTAGATTAGGCTATAGACTATACTATAGGCTGGATTCTAGACTTCAATATAGACGTGACTCTAGACTAGACTATACACTAGACTTAAGATTGGACTATAGAATAGACTTTGAAATTAATCCATTTTATATGTTAAATATTCAATGTTTATTACAAATAAAAACTTTTCCGAGAAAATTGTGGATGATATAGAAAAACCGCACAGATTCGGTATCAGTAGCTAAAAATACATGAAATCAAGTGAATATTTTTTAAAAGTTTTACAAACCTTCATTTCGTTGGCCTGTGTATTAGGGAAAATCAAATATCTATTCATTTTTTTGCGGACTTGAACTTTAATATTTTAAGTTCATTTTAGTAATAGGATTGATGATCAAAGCCCTATTAATTATTAATGTTCATATGGCAAAAATGCTGTCGACCAGTGTTATAAAAAAAATTTTTTTAAATTATTCAACCATATACGATGAATGAAAGGAATGAACCTTTCATTCATCGTATTAATTTTAAAAACAAATTAATTGAAGGATTTAGGTTATATATTTTTATTATTATTTTAAAACAATTCATCAATTTAAAATTTTACAACATTATTCTTTTAAGGTCATTATAAAACCCCTGAATAATTCAAATCTTAAATCATTTTCATTAAAGTATTAAATATAATAAATATACAGACTAAATAAATCTTAATATTCACAGACATTTCCTACCAAAAAATAAAAATATTTTAATGCAAAAATGCATATAAATTCCTAATTTTCATTCTATATATTTTTTTTTTATTTTCAAACATTTTTATTAATAACAACTAATCGATGAGACATAATAGAGATTTACAACACAGCAGATCAAAAATATTTGATATATATTTTTGATTTTTTGTTTTGCTCATGCATACATACATACATACATATGTACATATGTACGTGCCAAAATTATTAATCAGATTTGGCTGTTCGCCAAATGATCAGTTTATGTTTTCGTTCAAACTATAAAAATGAGAAATTCAAATAAATTAAACATACAATTTTTAAATGATAGAGTAAAAATGTAATAATTATGAAAGTTCATGTATTGAAATTTATGTTTCTTAAATTTTACATGAAAGACTTTTGAATGAAGGTGATACGATATGAAATTATTAAATTTTAAAGGAAATCTTATTTTTAGCGAAAAATCAAATGAAAAAGAACAGAATATTTCAAATAGTGGGAGATGTTTTTGAATGTTGTGTTATTTCTATTTTTTATTTTTATTTTCTTTTTGTAAATTGTATATAGAGAATTGCTTATGTAGAGTGAGTCAGTTTAAGAAATATTTTTAATAACTACATATTTGGTGTATGTGTGTCTAGATAGAATATATTTACAGTGTGTCAAATATTTTTTTTAATTTAAATAAGGGTTAAAATCACATAAAATCTTCGAAAAAGTTCACCGATTATGATGCTCTTTAGCAGGCATGGAAAATTCAGTACTTTAGTACTTTTTTTCAGTACTTTCTGCTAACGAAAAATACCGCAGTACCCCCACAACATTTTCGGTACTTTTCTAACTTATAAACTTTTGGTATATAGCCCACAAAGTAGTCTATAGTCTAGTCTATAGTCTAGTTTATAGTCTAGTCTGTAGTCTAGTCTATAGTCTAGTTTATAGTCTAGTCTGTAGTCTAGTCTATAGTCTAGTCTATAGTCTAGTCTATAGTCTAGTCTATAGTCTAGTCTATAGTCTATAGTCTAGTCTATAGTCTAGTCTATAGTCTATAGTCTAGTCTATAGTCTAGTCTATAGTCTAGTCTATAGTCTAGTCTATAGTCTAGTCTATAGTCTAGTCTATAGTCTAGTCTATAGTCTAGTCTATAGT